TCTTCTTTGCTTCCTCTATCTCGGCTAGTCCTCCACTTGCATTCGCCCCATCAAGATTCTTTTTCCATTGCTTGTGGCAAAGATATTCCATCACCTTCTCCAACACTATTGCCCTAGGAAGCGATGAGTGGCAGACCATGAATTTGAAGCAGACTGTTTACCGTTCATCGACTACACAAGTATTCTGAGTCCCTTCTTTAAAGCCTCCCTCCGGGTCGAAAGTGTTTTTCAGGAAGCCACTGATCATTGCCACATCTCTAGGAACAATGAACGAGTGTCCATCTCGTCTAGAAACAATCTTCACCCATTCTGACGTTTTCTTGTCATTACTTGGCTAAGCCATCGTGTTCGACTGAGTGACGGTCCGGTAGTGTGTATGTTCAACTCCTACAAACAAAGCAAGACATTCTGACCACTATGCCGACCGAGTTCGGCCTTGTCCCCTCAGGACGCGGTCGTGGACGTGGAGGAAGCAGAGGAAATTCGAGAGGATGGAGTCGCGGCTCATTCCGCTCAAGGGGACGTGGTCAAGGCGGACCTCAGAATGGGCCTATTCCAGTTCGACGCGACGATGGCACACAGCTCGAGGAGAGATTCGAAAGTGTTCGAGTTTACGATGAGGTAGACGACAAACTTGGATTTGCTCGCATCCCAGATGGCACTACGCGTGATGGTTGGCTTGTAAATATGCATCCTGTATGTTGGTTCACCATCGTCATAAACACACCTAAATCGTCAAAAGACAATCGTGAAAACAGAAGAATGGGCATCAGGTCGTGCTGCTGTAGACTATTATTTCATTCAAGATGATGGCGGCATGTTCAAGTGTACATTTCTTTATGAGCCATACTTTTACATTGCCTGCAAGGTATGCATATTGACAACCAATGGTTCCGATGGATATCTAACATCAACGGCAGGTTGGGCATGAAAATACAATCGAAGAGTGGCTAACGAAAAAATACGAAACCACCATTTTGAAAGTAGTACGAGAGCGAAAAGAGGACTTAAAGATGGTGATTCTATTCATGAACTGTCCTTTGAATCCATTTTAATCTTATTCAGCCTAATCATCTTCTTGCGCCTCCCCGATTATTCTTGAAACTGGTCTTCCGTAATGTCACGGATCTCCTTACCGTTCGACGGGATATAATGCCACTCGCCCTTGCCAACAGTGCCAAGATGAACGCCATCGATGCATACGCTGAGGTGGTCAATGCTGAAGCGGCAGCATCCCGCCGAATAGTCGTTGATGGAGACGATGCTCCAACAGCAGCATGGAGCATGGACCTAGACACCACGAGTATGCTGAAGAAAGGATCAGGGGACAAAGATCCTCGAGAGGGAATCATTGATATACGAGAATTTGACGTTCCCTACTATCTTCGTGTCGCAATTGACAACGGTAAGTTCTGTTGTGTACCCCAACAACCCCTACTAACTCTTAACAGACATTCGTGTTGGGCTGTGGTATTCTGTGACAATGAACGCAGGTCAACCTACCCTTACAAAGCTCACTGATCGCGTGAAGCGTGCCGAACCTGTCGTCATGGCCTACGACATAGAGACCACTAAAGCTCCTCTGAAATTTCCCGATCAAGCGGTAGATCAAGTGATGATGATATCCTATATGATCGATGGCCAAGGTTACCTCATCGTCAACCGGGATATCGTATCGGAGGATATTGACGATTTCGAATACACTCCCAAAGAAGGCTATGAAGGGCCTTTTACTTGTTTCAATGAAGCAGATGAGGAAGCTACTATTCGACGCTTTTTTGAGAATATACAATTAGCGAAACCGACAGTGATGGCGACCTTCAACGGAGACTCGTTTGACTTTCCATTCCTCGCTGCTAGAGCTCGAGTGCATGGTATCGACATGTTCCTTGAAACAGGCTTCTCCAAGGATTCGGAAGATGAGTTTAAGAGCCGAAACTGTATCCATATGGACTGCTTTCGCTGGGTCAAAAGGGATTCATACCTACCGCAAGGCAGTCAAGGCCTGAAAGCAGTGACCAAGGCAAAACTGGGCTATAATCCTGTTGAACTAGACCCAGAACTTATGACCCCGTAGGTTCCAGCCTAACTGTTTCCTGTGAAGATCTCTAACCTGATTTAGGTATGCGATGGAGCATCCTCACGAACTGGCACAGTATTCCGTTTCTGATGCTGTCGCGACTTATTATCTATACATGAAATATGTGCACCCGTTCATCTTTTCACTTTGCAACATCATCCCTCTCAATCCGGATGAAGTTCTCCGCAAAGGGAGTGGGACGCTTTGTGAAACCCTCCTGATGGTAAGTGGACTTTCCATTGAACGTATTATACTAATCGTGGACCAGGTAGAAGCATATAGCGCACACATAATCATGCCTAACCGACACGAGGAAGACTTCGGCAACATGTTCGATGGACACCTATTGGCGACAGAAACGTATGTTGGAGGCCATGTCGAAGCACTAGAAGCGGGCGTCTTTCGAAGTGATATTCCTACTTCTTTCAAATTAGTACCAGAAACGGTACAAAAAGTATGCAAACTACCCAAGTTTCTAGTGTACTTGCTCATTTTCTTTTAGCTAATTGACGACCTTGATCGCGCCTTGGTCTTCTGTATTGAGACCGAATCAGGCCTGACATTTGACCGAAACAATGTCCTAAATTACGATGAAATCAAGGGTCAAATCCAGAAAACCCTTGAAGAAATGAGGGACAACCCAGTGAGGACGGACAACCCATTAATTTACCACCTGGACGTGGCAGCAATGTATCCCAACATCATGTTGTCAAATCGTCTGCAACCCGACTCGATGATAGACGAATCTGTTTGTGCCGTGTGTGACTATAACATGGAGGACAAGCAATGTGCCAGGAGCCTTGAGTGGGCATGGCGTGGGGAATACTTTCCTGCTCAACGGGATGAGCTCAATATGGTGAAACATGCCCTTCATCAGGAAACATTCCCTTCAAAGGTTCCGAACGGGCCTAGGCGCAAGTTTACCGACTTGACACCCGCCGAGCAAACCGCCTTGATTCACAAACGTCTTGGTGACTACTCTCGTAAAGTCTACAAGAAGACAAAGGAAACTCGCATAATTACCCGCGAGTCGATCGTTTGCCAACGAGAAAATCCATTCTATATCGACACAGTTCGCAGCTTTCGTGATCGTCGATACGAATATAAAGGCCTCCACAAGCAATGGAAAAAGAATCTTGATGGGGCGAATGCAAGTGGAGGACTAGCCGAGATAGAGGAAGCAAAGAAGA